CACTAAATGTTGTACAGCTATACAATTTCAGTAACAGCATTTTATTCTGAGATCCACTGTAGGTAAATACTGATATTGCTGAGCATGCTAATAGGTGAAGCTTATAATACCTTAATAGTTTTATTTGCTTACTTTCCAAGAAAGAGAACATTTGATTGATATTGCCTTTGCTCGGACTCAGGGCAGATTAGAGATTAGACTAATTTAGCATCAAAACAGAAAGAGTTGGGGGAAACGTGGTAATCTACAGGTGTCAGGCACAAGCAAGATCTGCACACCAAACTCCTATAGACCTATAGACCATTCATCAATTTAGAAAACTTAAAAGATTAGCACCTTTCAGTTCTTTCAACCTTGGAGTCTCCTTATCCAGGTCAACATTCTGCTCTTGCAGAGATCTGCACATATTTTTATGGGTGAACCAGTGAAGCTTTTGGCAGGTCAAGCTGCAGTACATCACCTTGAAAATAATTACAGGAGAACATGATCTGAAGGTAGTTCAATATGTAAATTTAAGACATTATTTAATTATATTAGAGAAGGGAACAGATTTGGACTCACTGCTTTACAAAGGGAACACCTCTTATCTGCTCCCCTTTCCCCACATGTAGCACAATAGTCAGCATCTACAAATGCCATCTGACCTGTCAGGGCCTGAGTCAGCACTGAAAATGCTGTAGGTTCATTGCCCTGGAAACAAAGCAAAAATGTGTATTCAGTTTACATCAACAACAATGATTTGAAAAGGAAATAAATGCTCAGCAGCCTATATCATTACTACCATTCTTTCTAAAAATAATAGTTTATATGTTGTGCTTCAAATCTCTGATAACTTCTTCACTTACAATCTCTACTGGTGTAATGCTCCTCACCAGCTGCTGAAGGATTGTGGCCTCACAATACGGAAACCTCCTGATGCAGTCCCGAATGAATTTCTCCTGGTACTGTGGAAAGCCATCACTGTCTCTTCCCTTTAACAGACTGGGACCAAAAACCATTAAAGCGTGACAAGAACGAAATAAAAAAAGAGACGACATTTGTTATTACTATGATTCCAATATGTATTTTTCATCAATGACTCCTCATGGGTTGCAGCAATTTCAGTATTTGCAGAATTATTCAGTGTCTAAATAGGATGATCTGACCTGCTGGAATTATGTAATGGGGTGAAGGCAGAGATATCAGACACAAACATTTAAAATTCGGGACTCATAAAACCTACACCTGCACGAATACATTCCATATAGAGCAAAAGCTATTATGCTCTCAGTTTGGTCTGATTGACTGATAACCAACCAATAACATCAGAGGTTCTCACATAGGACCCACAGTTAAGGGTTTTAGGATTAGAAAATGTTTCACAATTATTGGTCATTGAGTGTAGAGTGATGATTTAAGCTTAAATATACGACACTAAAGTGAGGGAAACATGAGGGGTTCTGAATACTCTGAAGCCACTGTATAGAAAGGAAGAGCCTCACCTCTTGACAAGTGCATCTAGCTTATCATCCTGTTTCTGTAGAAATGCCAAGCATTTCTGCAGCACACAGCTGATGTAGTGCATCTTCATGGCCAAGACCTCATTTATATCTTGCTGCTTCACACACTGTTCACACAGCAGGTCCATTACTTGGTAACACTTCTCTAGAGCTGCCACATCCACCAGCACAGGGTTCTCCTTCACCAGCATGACTATCTGACAGATTGGAGAGTTAGTTAAAGAAACTTTTGTGGGCAGAAATAGCGTCACTGACTGAGATAGGTAGGAGAGACTATGTTTAGATGTTATGGGTGTGGAAAATACAGTAGTACAGAATTCACATATTTTATGAGTCCTGGCTTTTACATTTACATGCCATTATTCATAGGCCACAGGAACTAACCCTTGTGTAATAATCTAAATTATTCAGTTTATGTAGAATGTTTAAATCAATTTGATTCCTTTTATCTGTATAGCACCAAATCATAACATATATTATCTCAAGGCACTTTACAAATTAAGGTCAAGACACATTTCAAGAGTCTATATAATGCATGTTCCCCAGCTCCACATAGTGGACACAAGCAATAAAATATGTTTCATATCATGTGCAGCCCCACACAGAAAATTGCACGTTACTCACTTGTGCAGTGTATGATGGGATGGGAAAATGCACCAGCTGCATCAACCGGCATGTAGCTGGCAAGAGTCTGTTTAACACTGCTAGCAGCTTTGTTTCATTATTATTTTTTGTAATCACATTCCATATTTCACTGGCAGGAAATGTACTGAGTTACTTAATTTTAGCTTATCAACTCAAAACATCCCTTGTGCTTAAGAAATAGTCAGTTTCACAATGATACAGTTTTATCTTATGTAGTCTGAAGACCAAAAATAGTAAGGGGAGGATACAAAATTAAATTTAAATCATGCTACTGAAATCATGCCAGTGAACATTTGATTAAATGAGCATGGTTTAGATTTTAGCAATTCTCACCTTGACAGGGTTAAGGTTGGTAGTCATGATTATCTTGTGCAGGGGCCCTGCCAGCCTTGGGGGCAATTTGGGCTCCCTTTCCAGCCCCTGTGGTCTGGTGTAGTACTCTAGCCGTGACCGAGAGAAGAAGTTGTTGATCACTGTCACACAGTCATGCTGGCCTGGAAGGAGAATGTAAAGGTTAAGATGCCAGCACCTCGCTGTCACTAAATAACAAGCAGTTTAGTCTTTGCCTGTCTTACCTACAAATGCAGCCATCTGAGCAGCAGTGCGACCTACAGAATTCACTTGGTCTGTCTCTGCTCCTGCATCCAGCATCATGGAGGTGATATCTGTCTTCCCTGGAGGAGGTAGGAATAAGTATAAGACCAAGCATAATGGAGCTAAACTACAATGAGGGGCAAGCACACACATCCAAACTTAATAAGAATTTGGTGCTGGACAGAAGCGATGAAAACCAGAAGACAAGAAATGTTTGCACACCAGTTGAAGCTCCCACAATCAAGCTGAAAATGGCCTGTGCCCGAAACATTACCAAGGAGGTTTGTGCAAGCCTCAACTGTGGCCTCAAGTGTGTGTGGGGACATTTCTTGTCTTCAGGCATTTCAAGAGGACCTTGCAACAGATGCTGCAAAACTGAGACACACCATTATACCTGACAGGCCAGCAAACATGAGAGCAGTGTATCCATATTCATGTTGATTGCAGTTCACATCAGCCCCATGCTGCAGCAGCAAACGACACATTTCTGCTTTGCCTTTATAGGCTGCATGCATCAGTGGAGTCATGCCATACTTAGGAAACAAAGCAGACAATCAACATTACATGAGTAGTCAGTTTATGGCAGTGGTGGATCTAGATTTAGTTTTAATTTTAAAGAGGGACAAACAACACTTGGAACGCAGTCACAATTCCTGATTTAGTAACATGCACATTTAAGTCATTCCTTGTTCACTATAAGCTCTAAAGCTTTGAGCAAAGCCAC